ACGTCTCACGAAAGACTATGCAAGATCGACCATGGAATGCGTCTCCTACCAGGCGATCGCGTTTGTCCGTTCCTCAGACGCTCTTTGTTCTGTCGTTGCACGATACCTGAGGATGTTGCTGCTGCAGGTGGTGGCGAGCACAATCCATCCAATCACGTTGAAGAAGAGCCCGGTTATTCAGAGTAACGTTTATTCTGCATTATATTTATACTTTTGGAAACCATCCGGACTAACTGACACGTTGAAATCTCATCATTTCATATTCTGCCTGTCAAACAAAAGAAAAAAACTAAGACAATATTAAAACTGAGACGAAACGGCGTCCTCGCCACGCTGATGATTGAAACCTGAAAAACTCGTCGAGGTAGCGTTTCCTGAAGCTGTACATGTATTTCATCATTCCTCGTACTCTATGTACTGTTGGTCGCAGCTTTAACATTGCCCTGTTCATTTCGATAACATCGGTTCGCGTCACCTGAACCTCAGCCTCATCCGTATCTGAAGGATAAGTCCCAAACCGACAGGAAATCCTGTTTGTTCCATTGCTAGGCATACAAATATAAATCCAGCGAACAGTGAGACGCATCTGAGTGTTGAGTTTCGCAAATGGTGCGATGATGCTCTCCGATGTTAGTCTAATATGAATCGATATTTTTAATTTTCAAATGACCAGCAAAACCACGTAAGTGACGAACATTTTGATGAGGCACGCGGTTGGTGGATCCCGCCGATCGACATTCATCTGTTCGTTCGTTCACCAGTCACTCAATAATTCACTCAACATGCATCCGCCCTTCTACCAACACCAATCTTTCACTTGTTCATTCATGCATTTACGGGTTCGCTTATTCAGTAATTCGATCGTTCCCGCAGTCATGTAGTACCCTGTCGACTCCGTTCTGGTCATGCGGACGACACGAAATGACCCTGGTGATGGTACAGTCCGACTGACCCTGGTCGTCCGCTGAACGTATGATCCGCATCTGTTGGATTCCAAGGAGTGACAATGCCGGTTATAAGCCTTGTAGCTGCTCTATGGCAACGCTAGCAGCAGACTTATTCGAACAGTAAAGTGCTTCGTTCAATGGTGCTGCCATTCCCCGCGTTAATATGCCGCTGTTTGTCGACTGCGCTGATTGGAACCCTGGTGATGGACAGCCTTGCCGCTGTCGGAAACGTTCATTTAAAAAATAATTGAAACCCGTTTATCAATTTTGCTGCCTCCAATCATCGACTAATGTGACATCCTTAAGAGGAATGACAAATCGCCTCCTCAGAACCAGGCCTGGCGGCATATTTCGACGTCCTCTGACGCCTAGAGTGTTTGCGGGAGGTCTTTTGAGCAGGTCATGTAACCCTCTATCCTTCTGACGAACTCTGAACATCACTGGAAAACATCTATGCTTTATCTTGAAAAATCGAAACACAGAATCTGTTCCATCTCAAGGTATTCTCCATATTTCTGCTTCTCTTAGAATTAGAAAACTGAAAACCAAATATTATTGGCTAGAG